AAATACAAAAATCACAAATGGATGTTTGTGATGTCAATATTTGCAGAAAGGAAATGACAGTATTACAGTGATATGGCTCACCTGATAAACTGGCTCCATTAAAACAAGTAATGTTAACACTGCTGAGTACCTTCAAAGCTAAAATATAGGTTATACCTTACAAATGATCATCTGGATCATTTTCATCTGAAGAAACTCTAGCAAAGAAGCAGCTCACCCTAAGTGTCCAATGTGATGCTGTGACTGGGAAAAAAAACAGAGTTAGTGTGATCTTCAGATACATCAGCAGTAGATTAGTGACAAGTAGTTGGGGTAGGGGATTCATTTACCTTTGTATGTGGCACTAATCAGGTGGACATTTGAAACTGCATAAAGTTGTGGTGTCCATATTCTAAAAACAATGCTGAAACCCACAGAGGATGCACACAAATCAAATTCCCAAAATCTGAGAGCTAGAGGAAGCAGAGAGCAAAAGCTAACAAGCTCTGAATGTTTAATTCATTAAAAAAAAAAGAGGGAAAAACCTGACTACAGTGCAAAAAATTCCTTCTGAGAAAAAACAAGAAAAGTTCTTTAATTTACACAGGGAAAACCTATCAAAAAGTAACAGCTATTCATGGAGTTAACTACAGATTCATCCAGCTAAAATTGGAAGGAATCTGTGACAATCTTTAAAAAAATGAACTTCCATTATCACACTACAGAAACTCTTATTCATCAATACAGGTATATGAATAGGAATTCAGAATCTTACAGCAAAATCTGTCTGTGAATAATTTGAAATAAATTTTCAAGAGTCTATACTCTATTTTTGCATACTGCCTTCACTGTAACTGAATGGTTTCACTGGTAGATTTTCTTATTCGAAGGATACTTGAGCTGAGCAAAGTAAAATGTAAATTAGCAGCAAATATGCAGTTCTTTACAGATTTTTTAAAACTAAATATCAACCAACCAATGCACCCTACTGGCTGTGTTATGGAAGGTACACAGCATATTTCTATTATGAATACATACTAAATTTAAATAAAATTAATTAAAAAGTAACCAATTCATGTCAAGTAACCAAAGGGAAGCAGCAAATACATGAAATATGAAATCGGGAAATAACAGTCTCAATCCAAAGATAAATTTTCATTTATTCTCATTAAAACCATAACAATACTAAATTAAACAATTAAATGGTGTGGTCATTTTTAACCCATTTGAGAGTGAAATTGTTGGAACCTTGCTAACTAAAAAGGGTTTCTGCTAGTTTTGAGGATCAAGTCCCAGATTTTAATACTTATAGTTAAATGTATACATGCAAATATTTCCACTGGAGAACAGACTACTCTGCAAGCATCTGCAGATTTAGCATTGTTTGCTTCCTGCATACTTCTACAGTTCTTAAATAGCTCCTCTTACTACACCTTACACATCTTGCAGTCAGACACTGCTTAATAACTTCACAATTCATTTGGACTCCACTGGAGCTGCAGATCTACCTTGACATGACTATTTCCTACAATTTTAGTACCATACCCAGCAGGGAAGCAGAGACAGACAAAGGCTGTATATTTATTTCTGTGTGAATCTTTTAATGAGTCATAGCTTATCATGCCATTCAAGCACTTAAAACATACACTTAGATACTTGGCACTAGCTATCTAAATGTAAATCTAGCCCTGTGGTCCCGAACCACAGAATGACTTAAAGACTTACAAAAACAGTGGTGGCACATGACATGTATGTAATTTCCAGACAGAAAGAATATATATTCTTTTTTAATTAAAAATGACTTACAAGGTATATCAGCCCTCCAACATCTCCTTTACAGTTCCTCTCTATTAATTTCTTAAGATCTTTTTAATATTCCCTTGTGTATACTTAACTTCCTAGCTCTGATCAAGCCACACTAGGTATAACATGACCAAGGGGAATGTGGTAGAGATCCCTTCAGTTGCTCTTGGAATGCCATGGAGTGATTAACATTGACCCTGTTGCTCATTGAGAATGCACTATTAGGATATGCAAAGCAACTTACATGGGGACGGAGAAAGGCTGTATTCCTATTAGCATTCATGGGAGCTGTGCAGCTACAGTCTTGTTCATCAGGTTTGGAATATACCCTTTTGTTATTGATGGGAAAATGTCACTAGTTACAAATGGTTACGCACAGGGGTGTAGCAGGGTCAAAGCAAACTCCAATACTTACTTTCCCCCTCTAAGGCAGACTGCTGCTTCAGCAGTTCTTTTTTGACCTGATGGTACACTTTAGATAAAAGAAATGGTGAAATTCCCTGCCATGACCTCTTCTGTAGCCTCACCACCCAAAGATTAAAGAAAACCCTCAAAAGGATATGCCATTAGTGGTGTATGATGGGACAATCATCAGACAGCGCTGTAGTCATCACTGCTTATGAAGTCTGCCTTCAAACTCCTCTCCAGGTCCACCCGCAGCTCTGACGGGTCTCATAAAACAGTCTTTCAATAGCATGAATAGAGTCTGAGTCATCAGTTTCCCAGCTACAGACAACTACAGTTGCTTCACTTCCATTACTGAAAGCTTCCTTTAAAAACCAAAACAAAATGGTTGGTGCTGCAGATATTCTTTGCCAGATGTGGCACAACACCTCTTAATAGATGGAATTCTCATTCACTAAGTTATAATTACTTCTTGTCAACCTGAGATCCCATGAGAAAACTTAGGGTTTATGGGAAATTAATTCAATTTTGTCACCTTGAATACTGGTCTTGCTGGAAATACAGTTGGCGGATGATTCAATCTACTTGCATTTTGCCATCCCCAGAAACACATAAAATCATTCTGGGACTCCTACAAGCATGTTCACACATTTGTCATGTAATCTGACAATCCAAGCTTGTCTTTGTTGTATAGCGGCTTCTATGTAAGGCTGTATCTAAGGCCTTCAGTGCAGCTATGTTAATTAGCACAAGCTGTGCATCTGACCCGTGATAAAAATAGAAGGCTTATTTCTGAGCAGACTTTGATTGGGAAGATCCTATTAAATACTCTGAAGAAAAGAAAATATCCCTAGTTAGGCTCCTAAATGGTTTAGAAATAGTCTCCCCACTTGTAAGAAACTTTGGTTTGAGGGAATTCTAATTACACTTGACATCTGCAGCAATATTTTAACAAACCTGGAATAAGAAAGCCTGAAAAATAGCTTCTACTAACTGTGCCCAACCTCGTGCTGGAAGGAAATCCTGTTTACATATTAGTACTCTCCCATGCTTCTCTGCAAAGGGCACCAATCAGACCTGCCTAATCTAGCCAGCTTGTATTTTATGCTTACTGTTGACTGTTGCACCTAAGAATATTTATATTCTTTCATGCAAACTTTCTCTTACTTACAACATAGAACTTCTACATTCTTGACAAAACACCTATGCTGAAATGTATTGCTTTTCTTGTTGATACTATTTGGCTACGGACTACCTAGACAGCCTTAGGAATATTTTAATTTTACCCAATCCATCCTTCACCCACAACAGAGCACTATTTTAAGGTAGATACTGAAATATGTATATCTACTCTTTAAAATAAGCTGAGACACAAGAACACACTGCACCTTGATAGCTTATTTTACAATGCCTGGATATGCAACTTCAATCTTTTTCAGCTTCTGTGCGTGCGAAGTGTGCCACTCAATAGGGCTACATGATTGTTAGCTCTTATATCTTGAGACTCAAGCAATTCAGTTTTCAAAACTAAAGTCATAAAAGAATTCTGCCTTTATTAAGACCAAACACAATTTTAACCTCTTTGGTTGTTCAGGTAAGTCTGAAAACATCATATAACAAAGCTCAAAAATAAAAGGCAAAAAAACCTCATTTAAAATTACTTTCTTTTTTTAAAGATTAGATTTAATCTGTTGAGAAATCAAACTTGCAACTGCATTTGTCTTCAGCAACAATGCAATCACTTGTTTCAACATATTCAGCCTAACCTTAGAGCCGTCAGCTTTTGTAAGAAATATTGTACTTGTTCCTCCTGTAATCAAAAACTTCCTTCTAATGCCATGTCAGAAGAAATCCACACTAGAGTACACTTACTAGTTAGACTAGGAAGCCTTCCTATTACTGCCTATTGCCTCACCAACATCTGCTGGCAGTTAATAGTGAAAACGACTCTGTTAGGGCAGGAAAGCTGAAATATCTACAGGGCTTAATTTATGGTTTCTCTCTTGTGAAAAAATGCATCCGCATGGG